TGTTTTAAGTATATGTGTATCTTTTTTTGGGGGGAGGGGTACTAGGGCTTGAATTCACGGGCACTCTACCACTGAGCCATGTCCCCAGCGGTATTTTGTATTTTATTTAGAGACAGGATCTCACTGAGTTGCTTAGTGCCTCACTGCTGCTGAGGCTTGCTTTGAACTCTGGATCCTCCTTGTCTCAGCCCCCCGAGCCACTGGGATTACAGGCATGTGCCACCATGCCCAGCTCAAATGTATGTGTATTATTTTTAATGATTTTCTCTTTTAACTGATTTTTTCCTCTGATGATGTAACTGCCAAGATGAAAAGGCACTTATTTATGGAATTTAATAGCCAAATTATATTTTAACTTTACATGATGACATATATTTTTCTTGCTTTTCCATTTTAAAAATTTGGACTTGTTTTATTATCAAATTCTATCATATTCCAAAAAACTGCTGGATAATAGATTTAATAAATCTTTTCAGCTAAAATTTCTATTAATAGTTATACTTGCCCTCGTAACCTACCTTCCTTCCTTCCTTCCCTCCCTCCCTCCCTCCCTCCCTCCTTCCCTCCCTCCCTCCCTCCCTCCTTCCCTCCCTCCCTCCCTCCCTCCTTCCCTCTTTCCCTCCCGGTGCTTTACCACTGAGCCACATCCCCAATCCTTTTGTTTTTTATTTTGAGACAGGGTATCACTAAGTTGCTGAGTCTGTCAGCCTCCTGAGCTGCTAGGATTATAGGTGTACACCACCACACCCAGCTCTCATGTCATTGAAAATTTTTTCTAAGGCTGGGGCTGTGGCTGTGGCTCAGTGGTAGAGTGCTCTACTCACATGTGGAGGGCACTGGGTTCAATCCTCAGCATCACATAAAAATAGAATAGAGGTATTGTGTCCATCTACAACTAAAAAAACAAATTAAAAAAATTTTTTCTATAAATTATGTCTCAATTTAAACACATGTCTTTTTCTCTTCTTTAGCCAGTTACTTGAAATTTATCTTTTGAGATTCATTGTTTTATGAGTGAAGAATATTTTTGGTGATTAAACAGCTTTGTAAACTTGGTTTATTGATGTTCCTTAGGTCAGAACTGCTTCTCATGTCTTCTGCCTTTTTGGCTACAGCAATGCCATTGCAGTTTGGTGATGGCAGTAAGCAACGTGTCCGTGAATATGCTTGTAGGCATTCAGTTCTGATCCCAAAGAAGATACTGCTGTAAACATGGCAGGAACACCAGCATAGCAGGACTACAGTTGAGGTGATGAGAGAGAAGAGAGGACAAAATAGATAACTCAGACAAGTTTCTTCTCAAATAACCATCTAAAGGCCTGAGTCACTCACAAATCTTCTCTGAGAAGTGCATAACCAGAATGTCATGCCTTTGCCTTCTAATTTATTATAGTTAAAAAGGATAAAAAAGAAAAACTATATTTTAATAGTTCATTTAATTAAAAAATATATATGTAGGCTAATTATTGTTCTATCTGATTTGCTTTAGAAGGAACTTAAGTTTAGCAGAATATGGTGATGAATAGTATAGATTTGTGGAAATGAGAATGTTTGGATTTGAATTTTAATGTATCACTTGCTAGCTAGTGAGACTAGCTTGTGAAAGTGAGACTCTGGAAAACACTAACTAAGCCTCAGTTTTCTCCTTGGGAAAATGAAGATAATAATAGCACTCACATCAAAAAAAATGGGTATGAGAATTCAATGAGACAGTCTATTTAAATGCTTATTGTAGTGCTTGGCACTTAATAGGCATTTTTTTAGATGTTAGATAGTATTTTCCTAATATGTGCCATATACCACAGTGTTATATTAACAGACTTTCTAGGAAAGGTGGTCAACAAATTGTTTTTGATAGAATATAGGTCGACATTTTCATTAAATATAGGTTTTTAGGCTATAGGTCATAAGTGTACATTGTTAAATTCTTTTGTTTGATAAATTACATCTAACAGTCTTCACTGACGTGCAACATGTTTTGCCTTAGAATTTTCTGTTATCTTTGGATCATTTGTAGCAGATGACACTATAATTTTCATAGTGCTGCTGCCTCTCTTTCCTTTCCCCCCGCCCCCAGCTCTTAGTTAGTTAGTTAGGTAGTTAGAGGCAGGATCTTGGTAAGTTGCCCAGGCTAGCCTTGAATTTGCAATCCTCCTGCCTCAGACTCCCAAGTAGCTTTGATTACAGGTATACACCACTGCACCCTGCAGTGTCACACCCTTTTCTTAGAAACTTCTAGAATATCTTCTTTATTGACTCAGGTGAAACAGAATCTACTCACTCTTTCCTTCCTTCCTTCCTTCCTCCCACCCTCCCACCTAGGGACTCATGCATGGTAGGCAACCACTTGACCACTGAGCTACATCCCAAGCCCTTTAAAAAAAAATGTATTTTGAGGCAGGGTCTCACTGGTTGCCTGGGTTGGCCTTGAGCTTGAGATCCTCCTGCCTCAGACTCCCAAGTCACTGGGCTTGCAGCACTGCACCCAGCTTCCCTCACTTTCAGTTTAATAAATCTATAGTATTGTTGGTAGAAAAGAGAAAGAAATATGATTCTTTTCTCTAAGGACCATTGGTGAAAAAAGCTCTCAAAGGCTGATCTAACTAATGGCCAGCCCACTTTTGTTTTTACCTGGGAGTACTGAACTTGTTTCTGGGCCCTATGGTTAATTGGTTGGTACTAGATAAACTTGATATAGCTTTGGTTCAGCTGCAGAAAAACAGATGTAACTTTTGCCACAAATACAAAAGTTTAAAGGTTTATCATTAAAGTCTCCATAAGGGCTAGGGGGTGTTTCTCACAGGTAGAATGCTTCCCTAGCATGCATGAGGCTCTGAGTTCAATCCCCAGTACTGCAAAAATGCAAACAAAAAACTCAAAGATCTTCATAGTCTGATTATTAACATAACAGAAGCATAGGTGACAACCAACAGAATTGAGCTCTGGCATAGATGAAGGATATTGTTCAAGCTAAGAAGCCTATCTGATTCCAAAAGCTGTTTCTTGATTGTCATCTCAACAATAAGGATTGTATGCAAAATCTACACTCTGTCCACCTTTTATGTAAGATGAAATATATTTATTGTGCCAAATGTGTTATATGCGAGTTCACTAATGTCTTCATTTATCAGCTGCTTTTAGGTAGTTGAAAAGAATTTGTAGAAGAGGTAACATTCCAAGAAAAGAAAGAAATGACCAAGGTTGCTTAAAATAAGAGGCTTGGAACATTTCTTGAAAGGCAATAATGGAATGACTAAAGAAGTGGGGTTGTTTATTAGACTTGTCTGGTAAATGGTAGATGGGATATCAAATGAACAGATTGGTACTTAGTGCAACTATGTAGCTGGTGTTAAAAATAGAAAAACAACCAAAAATTGATCTAATATCTCATTTTACTTCACTACTTAATAGGGTGAAAAGAGTTACTGATAATGCAATGCATGCACTCTACTAATGGTGTGAGCAAAGTACTTTGGAAGGGCAGAAATTTGAATCACCAATTATGCATTAGTGGGAAGGAATTATTAGATAAGGTTAAACAAAGTAGTAAAAGTGGGAAGAGAGCCATCAGGAAGAGGGACAGGGCCTTCTAAGCATACTAATGGTGTAAACAGAAGCACAGAGGTGAGTATATATGTGACATTGAGAGGGTGTATGGGACAGGAACAGGAAATGAAACAATGAAATTAGAAGAGCGTGGATAAAGCAATTATCTTGTACTTAACTGTAAGAAAAATTGCTGTAGCTGGATGTGGTGGCACATGGTCCTGGGGAGGCTGAGAGGAAAGAGGATCATTTGAGCTTAGAGTTTGAGACCAGCCTGGGTAGCACTATGAGACTCTGTCTCAATAAGAAAGAAAAAGGTTGGAACTGAGGATGTGACTCAAGTGGTAGCGTGCTCGCCTAGCATGTGTGAGGCACTGGGATCAATCCTCAGCACCACATAAAAATAAAAATATTGTATCCACCTAAAACTAAAAAACAATTATTAAAAAAAAAAAAAAGAAAAAGATAACTAGTTAAGAATATGGTTTGGGGGAGGGGATCCTGAACTGAAATCAAAATTCTATGCATGTATGAGTTTGTTGGGATGAACCCAACTACTATATATAACCATAATGCTTTAATAAAAAAAATAAAAAATTTTAAATATGGTTTGGAGAGAAAAACACTGCAAACTTTGAGTTCTCTAGTAGCTTTTTTATTTATTTTGATGAATACTGATCACTGAGCAGTGAATAAAAATAGACGAAGATAAATGGAACAGGCAATACCAAAAAAATCTGGCAGCCATTTGGAAGGGGGTTATAGGAAGAGAAAGGAGCCAGATGATCTTATTTTCTACCTCAGCTGAATGGATGGATGTTATTACCATAAACCAATTTTGGGGATTATAGAGAGGAAACAAGAGATTGGAGCAGAGAAAGAAGAAAAGCTTGTTTAGTTTTTGACATTTTGAATTTGAAGGGCCTGTGGGACGTCCTAATATTCAGTAGGTAGCCAGAAATTTAAGAGGAGATACAAACTCTCACACTACACACACACCCAGCAGCATGTAGAGCATATAATTAATGCCTTAGAAAGAGATGCAGCCTTCAAAAAGAATGAGTTCTAGAAGAATGCCTAGGGCTATATCTTAGAGAAAACCCAGCATATTTGGTGTGGGAAGAAAATGTTCTTATGTGTGCACATATTCTGAAGTTGTATAAATGGTCATTTTATTTTGTATTATTTGCTCTGCTTTTCTCTGTAGCAATGGAGATGAGAGAATATTTGCTATATTAGTCGTGTATAATTTTCAAGTGTACTGTACTATTTTAAATAGACTTTTTTCCTTAAATTTTTTTCCTCCTCTCCAGACTGTCATTTTGTTGGGTTTTTGGATTTCCTAATGAGAATAATTAGTTTAAGGAGACTGGTAATTTTTATCATAACATTAATCTTTCAAAATGATCATGTTATCATATTATTAGTCATTTCAACTGCTTTTCCTTCTACAGGAGCTGATGCAACAGAACGGGATTGGTTATGTGTTAAATGCCAGCAATACCTGTCCAAAGCCTGACTTTATCCCTGAGTCTCATTTCCTTCGAGTGCCTGTCAATGATAGCTTCTGTGAAAAAATTTTGCCATGGTTGGACAAATCAGTGGATTTCATTGGTAAGTAGTTCAAGTAGCATTACAGTCCTTTGGGTTATAGTCTCATCTGTAGGTGTAGCCCCTCTCTCTTCTTTTTATCTTTAAAGGAAAGGAACCTGTTTCAGAGATTTCAAAAGTCAGGAAAAAACATGATGTTGCTTTCTCACTTAGCTGTCAAGGTGATGTGCGTGTTGTGCTGTCCCTAAGGTTTGGCCTTGTGAGACCTCTTAGCTAACTTTTAACAGTACCAAGGGTAAGAAGCCTCATAGGATCTGTGATTGTGTGTTGCAAGTGTTTAAAAATTAGTTAAGCTTTTGGGAATAATTAATACCAATACTCTTCAAATTACTCCATGAAATAGAAAAGGAAGTAACCATTACAAACTCATTCAACAAAGCTATTATCATCCTGATACCAAAACCAGGCAGAGACACATCAAGGAAAGAAAATTTCAGACCAATATTCCTGATGAATATTGATGCAAAAATTCTCAATAAAATTCTGGAAAATCACATAAAACATTAAAAAAATAGTGCACCATGATCAAGTAGGGTTCATTCCAGTGATGCAAGGTTGGTTCAAAATATGGAAATCAATAAATGTAATTCATTACATCAGTAGACTTAAAGATGAGAATCATGATTATATCAATTGATGCAGAGAAAACATTTGACAAAACACAGCACACTTTCATGTTCAAAACCCTAGAAAAACTAAGGATAGTAGGAACATACCTCAACATCTATGCTAAACCCAAGGCCAACATCATTCTAAATGGAAAAAAATTGGAAGCATTCCCTCTAAAAACTGGAACAAGACAGAGATGCCCTCTTTTACCACTTCTATTCAACATAGTTCTTGTAACTCTAGCCAGAGCAATTAGAGAGACAAAGAAATTAGAGGGAATACAAATAAGAAAAGAAGAATTCAAACTATCATTATTTGCTGACGACATGGTTCTATACTTAGAGGATCCAAAAAACTCCACCAGAAAGCTTGTAGAATGAATTAATGAATTCAGCAAAGTAGCAGGATATAAAATCAGTACCCATAAATCAAGTGTATTTCTATACATCAGTGATGAATCCTCTGAAAGACAAATTAGGAAAACTACCCCATTCACAATAGCTTTAAAAAAAAAATAAAATGCTTGGGAATCCACTTAACAAAAGAGGTGAAAGACCTCCATAATGAATACTGCAGAACACTAAAGAAAGAAGTTGAAGAAGACCTTAGAAGATGGAAAGATTCCATGCTCTGGATAGGCAAAATTAATATTGTGAAAATGGTCATATTACCCAAAGCACTATACAGATTGAATGCAATTCCAATTAAACTCCCAGTGTCATTCCTTATAGAAAAAACACTCAGGAAATTCATTTGGAAAAATAAAAGACCCGAGAATAGCTAAAGTAATTCTTAGCAAGAATAGTGAAGCAGGAGGCATCACAATATCAGACTTTAAACTAGACTACAAAGCTTCAATAACAAAACAGCACGGTACTATCATGAAAATAGACATGTAGAGCAAAGATACAGAATAGAAGACAGAGTGACAAACCCACATAAATATAGTTATTTCATATTATACAAAGGTGCCAAAAACATACATTAGAGAAAAGATAGTCTTTTCAACAAGTGGTGCTGGGAGAGCTGGAAATCTGTATGCAGCAAAATGAAAATAAACTTCTATCTCTCACCACACACAACATTCAACTCAGAGTGGATCAAGGACCTAGGAATTAGTCCAGAGACCCTAGAAAAAGTAGGCCTTGCCTTAACAAGACTCCTAAAGCACAAGAAATAAAATCAAGAATTAATAAATGGGATGGACTTAAACGAAAAAGCTTCTTCTTAGCAAAAGAAACAATGAGTTTGAAGAGAGAGCCGACATTTGGGGAGAAATTTTTGCCACATGCACATCAGATAGAGCACTAATCTTCAGGATATATAAAGAACTCAAAAAACTTAACGCCAAAGAAAATAACCCAATCAATAAATGGGTTAAGGAGCTGAACAGACACTTCTCAGAAGAAGATATACAATCTATCAACAAATATATGAAAAAATGTTCAACACCTCTAGTTATTTAGAGAAATGCGAATCAAAACTAAGATTTTATCTCATGCCAGTCAGAATGGCAGTTATCAAGAATAGAAACAACAATAAGTGTTGGCAAGAATGTAGGGGAAAAGGCATATTCATACATTGCTGGTGGGACTGCAAATTGGTGCAACTGCTTTGGAAAGCAGTATGGAGATTCCTTAGAAAACTTGGAATGGAACCACCATTTGACCCATCTATCTCACTCCTCGGTCTATACCCAAAGGACTTAAAATCAGCCTGCTATTATAGTAATGCAGCCACATCAATGTTCATAGCAGCTCAATTCACAGTAGCTAAACTGTGGAAGCAACCAAGGTGTCCTTCTATAGATGAATGGATAAAGAAACTGTGGTATATGTACAGAATGAAATATTACTGAGCATTAAAAGAGAATAAAATTATGGCATTTGCAGGTAAATGGATGGAGTTGGAGAATATCATGCTAAGTGAAGTAAGCCAATCCCCCAAAACTAAAAGCTGAATGTTCTCTCTGATAAATGGATGGTGATCCATATTGGGGGGGGCATGGGAAAAATGAAAGAACTTTGGGCAAAGGGGAGGGAGGGGTGGAGAGGGGGGATGGGACTAGGAAAGATGGTGGAATGAGATGGACGTCATTTCCCTAGGTACATGTATGACTGCACATATGATGCGATGCTACATCTTGTACAACCAGAGAAATGAAAAGTTGTGCTGCATTTATGTACAATAAATCAAAATGCATTCTGCTGTCATATATACCTAATTAAAATAAATAATTTAAAAAATTAGTTAAGCTTTTGGAATTAAATCTTACACACGCAAGTTTTTCAAATCCTGTAAAATACTTTGGGAAACTTTGGTGATATTCCCTATTGCCTTGCTGCTCTTTTCCCCAGGGAAAAGTCAAATCTGATGGGGGGAAAAGAATCCTAGTACATTTAGAATCTCTTACATGTCACAAGATATCTGAGCCTCAATCCAAGTGGCAGTATTTTCAAGTAGTTATGGGTCTAATAAAATTCACACACATTCTGTTTCCTACTCCGCATTCTGCTTCAAATTCAGAATTTCGATAAGTCCTTGTTGCTTTTGTGACCTTATGGTCCTGCAGGATCAAGTGTGTTGGTGGTAATCGGTGATATGTTTTTAAAGTGTGGTTTGTGTGGAGAGGCTGAACAGAGGAGAAAACTGCTCCCTAGTGAGCAGCATAATAAGGTGTTGACCCTTAATGTCCATGTGAGGAATTTTTGTTGCTCACCCCCTATAGTCACATCTGTTTGAGCACTCTAATCCACACTGAAATACTCTGAATTGGTTACTGTAGTTAAAAATAAAAGAACTAGTTTCTTTAAAAAAGAAAAATGATGCAAATTAAGTCCCCACTATATTTTATCATCTAGGAGAGGGATTTTCTAGGTAATGCTATTGGAGCTTTGGGTAATTCTGAAATAGTTATCTTTTCTCAAATTTTCCGGATTGCCAAGAGTTTCCATATTCAATTAGGACTCGTTCTGTGAAATAACTAAAGATAAATGACCATGACCACTCCCATTAAAATAATCATAGAGAAAATTCCCCAAATTAATACTCTCTCATTATACTTCTAGGAAATGTCTTTAGCATATCATTCACCTTCTGCTGCTTTAGAAAAATAATAATAATGATTAATGTTGCCATTGCATGTCATATTGATCCAGAGACATTTTGCTCTAATTTCAGCTAAAAGTATGATCTCAGGATCTATCAAGAGGAGAACCTGATTCTGTTAAGTCATAACAATGCCTACATTTGGGAGGAATTCATAAAAAAGAGAATATGAGTAACTTTACTCCCAGTTTATTTTCTTCTTTCATGGGAGAGATTGGGATCATCATGCCGCTTTTCATTTATGCAAAAGGAACTTTACCATGTTTCAATTGGTTAAATGTACACAAACAAACACACTTATTTGCTTGGTTCTATTTAGGTGAGCCACTACCCTATCCCACTCAAATAATTGAAGGCAGAAATCTCATTTTTTTCATATTCGCTGTAATTGCTATTTGTCTTCTCCATGGTACTTGATGCCATGGTTAGTCATGATAGACTAATTAGAAGATGTACCCCTATACCTAGATACAATATCTTGATTTTTCTCTTTTTGTTATTTAGATTAAATTTCAGCAAGTCTCTGGGTTTGGTGGAAGGACTCGGGTTTTCATGGAGCTTTATATTTTATTTTTAGTCAATGTAGGCAGCAATAGCAAAGTTTGCCTGTTTGTGTGGTGGGGTTCTCATGAGGTACCCTCTTGTGCATCTGGATGCCCCTGCTCCCTCCTCACTGTCTCCTTGCCCCCCCCCCCCCCCCGCCAACTCACTCACACCAAACTCGTGACTTTGCACCAAGGCAAGGTGATTAAGATCATGTACTTTAGAGCCTAACTATCAGTTTTTGAGTTTGGCTTCCCTTAGTTAATAGTAGTTTGGAGTAAATTGCTTAAAACTTATATGCCTGAGGACTTCCAAGTTTGAGGCCATCCTTGGAAACTTTGGAAGTGCCTCTTTGAAAGTAAAAAAGGGTAGGGGATGTAGCTCAGTGATAGAGCATCCCTGGGTTCAGTCCCCAACATGGAGGTCATGCTTGTGTGCCTATTTCCTGAACTGGAAACTACCTTATTTTGATGCTGAAGAATTAAAGTAGATAATATATGTGTATTAAATACCTTGCAAAGTACTTGGCTCCTAGTTGGCTTTAAGTAAATATTTTTAGTTTGGTTGGCTTTTTTTGTTTGTTTGTTTTGCTTTTGAGGTGGGGTCTTGCTGCATTACCCAAAGCTGGTCTTGAACTCGTGGGCTTGAGCAATAATTCCTGTCACCTCAGTCATCTGAATAGTCATGAGCCACCTCATCCAGCTAATATTTTAATAATGTAATGAGAATTTCCTTCTTTCTTATGTCCCCTCTCTTTATTTGTGACCCTTTCTTCTTGTTTAGTGTAAATTTTATTCCTGAATTTCTGTAGTGCTAGTGTGCCATTTCTATTTCCATTGACACCATCACTGCCTTCTTGTTCCCTGTTCAGGAACTTGCAAGAGGCTCTTTGATTTTCTACATAAAAATTACATCCTTTAGCCTAACATTCCCAAGAGACCCTCCTGCAGCTGCTCCCCACCTGTGAAATATTCTGGTTATTTCTCATACAGCTCGTGAGTGCCAACCAAGGCAGGCTGTTTTCTGGGCACTTTGTTCAGCTCATCACAGGGCTTTCCTGCACACTTGTCCCTTCTCAGGCAGGCTGTTTTCTGGGCACTTTGTTCAGCTCATCACAGGGCTTTCCTGCACACTTGTCCCTTCTCTCTGTCAGGTCTGTGTGTATTTCTTCCTTTGCTTTAAGCCTTAGTTTAGCACTCATGTCTGCCAAGATCTGTATGCTAATGAACCCCACTCCAGTATAAGCATTTCTTAATTTGATTCTTAAAAATGTATCAAGAGGGCGGGGATGTAGCTCAGTGGTAGAGCACTTGCCTAGCATGTGTGAGGCACTGGGTTCGATTCTCAGCATCACATATAAACATAAAAAAATAAAGGTCCATCGACAATATATCATTCATATATATCAAGAGAGTTGTGGTTATAAAAACAATGTTTGAAAAACAGAAAAGGAAACCTATAACCTCAACATTATAACACATACGTTACTGTCATTGTTTATTTCCTTCTAGCCTTTTTCTTTTTCTTTTTTTTTTTTTTTTGTACTGGGTTAATGAACCCAGGGGTACTTAACCACTGAGTTACATCCCCAGCCCTTTTTATTTTTTATTTTGAGACAGGGTCTTGCTGTGCTGGTCTTGACCTTGTAATCCTCCTGCCTCAGACTGTGGAGTTGCTGGGGTTACAGGCATGTGCCACTACGTCCAGCCCTTTTTCAAAACTTTTATGAATATTTCTTATTTATCAATCTGCTAGTACTAACTGTATATGTACTATGTCTAGTATTATAGAGGCAAGACCATTCTAGGTCCTCATAGTCTAGTTTTCCAGATGAGACTATGATCAACATTCAAAACCTTAAGCCTACTTCTAATCAGTATTGGAGTACTTTACAATAAGAGATTGGGATAAAAAGATGCACATATTCATATACACATTAATATGGTACAGAAAAAAAAAGTGCAAGAATCAAGTAATACTGGAGTAGGAAAAGTGCAATAACTGATAGAGAATCTGAATTACTGTTTCTTTTTGAAATTAAATGAAAAATTTAGCTTCTAGCAGCCAAGGCAAAAGGGGGAATACAGAGTAGTGTAGGGTAAGCACTGTACAGTAGAGCAAAGAGAACTAAAGACTTTATATATACAGGTTTATTATTATTTTGTTTAGCACTTGGTTCTTTGTTTCAGTGTTGCATTGTTGTCATTTGTTATTGTTTTACTGTTTGGTTTCCTATCTAGAACGGAAGCTGAAGTTGCTGCCTATTCATCCTAGATTGTTGGATACATAATGAATAAATCATATCTAGAAGAAATGTGAAATATTTGTGACATAGGCAGTGCTGGAGCTGGTTTCTTACATATTTGTTAATTCTAATAATTTTAACATAGTTTTGGTAACTTTTGGTAATTTTCAACTAAAATAAAAATGAAAGGGAAGAATGTAGCTCCCTGGCAACAGCTTTAAGAAAGAAGCACACATGTAATTGTTTAGAATTGAGACAGTCAGGGCTGGGGTTGTGGCTTAGTGGTAGATTGCTTGCCTAGCATGCATGAGGCACTAGGTCTGATCCCCAGCACCACATAAAAAAAAACTAAATAGACAAAATAAAGTTATTGTGTCCACCTACAACTAAAAATATTATAAAAAATAATAAAAAGACTTGAGACAGTCAGTTCTGCATAGAATATTGGTTGCTTTCAGGCCATGTGGGATAACCTAACCTACTTCCACATTTATGTTTTTTTAAAGCCCCTTAACAATGAGAAATGACAGCACTAAAAGTATCTCTGAGTCTTTCTGCCATGTTTTGGGGAACTAATGCGATAAAGGACAGTAATTCCTGGGTGTCGAGGAAGGGATAAAAGTTCTGTTTGTCCTCATTAAAGTGACCTGGTAAACCCCATCTAGCTATGCATAGTTTTCTTCTTAAATTCAGAAAATAAAGTTGAGCTATTTTATGACACACGGTAAAATTTCCTAAATAGAGAACTCATGAATTTTATTATTTATTTATTTATTGGGGGTGGGGGTGTGCCTGTGTGGTATGGGGATTGAACCCAGAGCTCTCATTCATGCTAGGCAAGTACTCTAGCACTGAGCTACATCCTCGGCCCTTTTTAAAAATTTTTATTTTGAGACAGAATCTTACTAAATTGCCCAGGCTGGACTTGAATTTGGGACCCTCCTGCCTCCCATGTAGATGAGATCACAGGTGTGTACTCTCATGTCTGACAAGTCTCGGCATTTAAAAAAATATTTGGGCTGGGAATGTAGATTAGTGGCCAGTTGCTAGCTTTGAGTGTTTGAGGCCCTAGGTTTAATTTCCAGCATAGCAAAAAAGAAAAGGAAAAAAAAACTCACTTGGTCTGGCATCTTGCATTATGATCTAGTCTCTCCCTCACTTCCCTCCTTTCTCATTAGTAATGTGTGTCATACATTATTTGAAATGCAACTATATTTTTTAAAAAATTATCAGCCATGCGCCGTGGCACAATCCTATCCAGTGGCTCAGGAGGCTGAGGCAGGAAGATCGGGAGTTCAAAGCCAGCGGAGGCACTAAGCAACACAGTGAGCCCCTGTCTCTAAATAAAATACAAAATAGGGCTGGGGAATGTGGCTCAGTGATTGAGTGTCCCTGAGTTCAATCCCCGGTTACCCTCCTCCACCCCTAAAATCTCATAGTTGGGAGGAAAACGTGTGTCAAATAACATGCGTAAACAAATTGTTAGTTGTTATCTTGGGTGCGGAGTTTTAGATGGTTCTTATTTTCTTTATGTACTTTTCTGTATTTCTGAAAATTTCTACACTAAGCAAGTAGAATCATGTAATGCAGGAATCATATCCAGGAAAATTTATTAAAATAATAATGGAAAAAAATATATGGTAAAAAATAGTGAAATAAGTGTCAGGTAACCTGAGTTAGTGACATGTTGCTTATTAATGCTTGTGGACCTTAACCATCCATTGTATAACAATGGTGAGGAAATTATCTTCCCTAACTTCAAAAGAATATTGAAAGAGTAAATATAATGTGAATAGAAAAGATTTGCTTTGAGGTTTTCAGGCTAAGACCTTGAGTAAACAAATGGAAACAAAATTTCCATTTTGCTGAACTAAATTGTTAACTTTCTTGAATTTGACTCATACAGAGAAAGCAAAAGCTTCCAATGGATGTGTCCTAGTGCACTGTTTAGCAGGGATCTCTCGCTCCGCCACCATTGCCATCGCCTACATCATGAAGAGGATGGACATGTCTTTAGATGAGGCTTACAGGTGAGGACAAGAACATGTCTGTGTGAGTGGGCTTTTCATTTGCCCTGAAACACAATGAATAGAAAAGCAGATTAAAGCAAATTGTGATTATTTTAGTCACTCTCTTTTCAGGTTTCTGTGGATTTTTAAATGGTCTTGCAAAGATTTGAAAAGAATGCAGTTTTATCAGTTAGCATTCATTCTGCCCTAATGTGTCAGATTCATCCTCAGCTACCTTTTAAGTTTAAGGAAAAACACCAGGCAGAGAGCTTATTCCTTTCCTTCGTCGGAGAAGTATCATTTGTTCTAATGTATTTATGAAGAAAAAAAAAAAAAAAAAAAAAACTTCCAGTAGAATATACTCTGCTTCAAACTTTGTATTGCTATGAGGAAAAAGACAAATATAGGCAAGTGTAAAACCAAATAACCATCAAATGAATTCACTAATTTCCTACATCCTAGTTGTCCAGATTTTGCAGTGTGTAGTTTTGACCAGGTTGCGCTGGCTCCTATTTTCTCAAAAGGGAAGGCAGGCAAGTGGCAATACTGCTGAGGGCTGGAGTTTTCTTGGTGATTTATGAATATGTGTTTCCTTCAGGCCTTGTTGGGTAGAGGTAGTTAGTTTTCATGTGATAAAGAATAAAAAATAGAAACACATAGAGCAGGCCCGTTTTAACAGTTGGGTAAAATTAGAAGGAAGGAATGAGCAGCCCAGCTTGTCTTTTGAGGCAGGAAACTGGTGTGGATGGGCCCTTGTCTACCTGCACCAGATTCCTCTCCTTCATTCAGGCTTTGTGCCTGACATTGTCCTGCTCCATGCAGAAACCAGAGGCCTCACCATAGTATCACATGAGGAAGTCTTAGCACAAGGACCCTACATTAATATTTAAACTATAGTTGAACTGGTTATTTCTGGCTTTGTTAATTTGCTTTAGATTACTTGATTTCTATGGAGTTTTAAATTTTTCTTATTCTTTATTTGTATGCAGATTTTCTGTGTAGTTTTACTTTTTGCAGCATCTGACAGGTAATTGACTCATGAAGTTCTGGTTCCATTGAAGAGTTTTTCTATTACATTTAAGAGCCTTGTTTCCTCAGTGAAACATAAAAGCTACTTATTCATAGTTTTGACCCCTTGATGAATCTTTAACATATTACAAAAATGGACCCAGACATCGGATGGACCTAGCTTTGACTTCCAGTATCATCAGTTAGTAGCTATGTGATTTTAGGCAAGTCCAAGATTTATGTACCCTCATGATGGGGATAATGGCACCCACTGATTAGGGTAGGTTTGAAGATTGAATAAATAATTTAGGGCATCAGCATAATACTTAGCCCCCAGATACAACTTTGTGGTTGGTTATTCTGTCGTACAGGGTACAAAAAGATGGAACTCAGAATTAGGTGCTTTGACCATCTGATACTTTTTTTTTTTTTGGTCATTAAAATGTGAAATGTCTTGAGAAATGACCATGGGGACATTGAAGGGATAATATTGGAAAATTAAAGCTGGCAAATGACCATTACACTGTACTTCTTTTGGTTGTACCAGTGTGTGTTGTGGCAGGATTTCATTGGTTGTAGCCAAAGAAATCCCCTCTTATCAATTGCATTGGAAGTCTTGAGCCATTAAAAATAATAAGGCTAAAACTCTAGAGCTTTTGGGCCTGGCACCCTCTCTCTCTAGTATGCCCCCAGAGTCAGAGTTCCCTCAGCACAGAAGTCCTTTATATTCTCCATCTTGAGGCATCTCTCTGAACTTGTAAACCAGTCATCTTCCAAAGTATTTAGGAAGGTCTAATAAACCCCTCGTGTTTACTCACTTAATATTCTTAAGATAAAGTGTAGTATAAAATTCAGTTTTTGATTTTTCCTCTCTTCATAGATTTGTGAAAGAAAAAAGACCTACTATATCTCCAAACTTCAATTTTCTGGGCCAGCTCCTTGACTATGAAAAGAAGATTAAGAACCAGACTGGAGCATCAGGGCCAAAGAGCAAACTCAAGCTGCTGCACCTGGAAAAGCCAAATGAACCTGTCCCTGCAGTCTTGGAGGGTGGACAGAAAAGTGAGACATCCCTCAGTCCACCCTTTGCTGACTGTGCTACCTCAGAGGCAGCAGGGCAAAGGCCTGTGCATCCTGCCAGTGCGCCCAGCCTACAGCCATCACTGTTAGAGGACAGTCCACTGGTACAGGCACTCAATGGGCTCCACCTGTCCTCTGACAAGCTGGAAGACAGCAATAAGCTCAAGCGTTCCTTCTCTCTGGATATTAAATCAGTTTCATATTCAGCCAGCATGGCAGCATCCTTACATGGTTTCTCCTCATCAGAAGATGCTTTGGAATACTACAAACCTTCAACTACTCTGGATGGGACCAACAAGCTATGCCAGTTCTCCCCAGTTCAGGAAGTGTCAGAGCAGACTCCAGAAACCAGCCCAGATAAGGAGGAAGCCCACATCCTTAAGAAGCCCCAGACCACCAGGCCTTCAGAGAGCAAGCGACTACACTCAGTAAGAACCAGCAACAGTGGCACCCAAAGGTCCTTCTTATCTCCACTGCATCGAAGTGGGAGTATGGAGGACAATTACCATACCAACTTCCTCTTCGGCCTTTCCACCAGCCAGCAACACCTCACCAAGTCTGCTGCCGGGCTGGGCCTCAAGGGCTGGCACTCAGATATCTTGGCTCCCCAGACCTCTACCCCCTCCTTGACCAATAGTTGGTATTTTGCCACAGAGTCCTCTCACTTTTACTCTGCTTCAGCCATCTATGGAGGCAATGCCAGTTATTCTGCCTACAGCTGTAGCCAGCTGCCCACTTGCAGTGACCAAGTCTATTCTGTGCGCAGACGGCAGAAGCCAAGTGACAGAGCTGACTCACGGCGGAGCTGGCACGAAGAGAGCCCCTTTGAAAAGCAGTTTAAACGTAGAAGCTGCCAAATGGAATTTGGAGAGAGCATCATGTCAGAGAACAGGTCGCGGGAAGAGCTGGGGAAAGTGGGCAGTCAGTCTAGCTTTTCAGGCAGCATGGAAATCATTGAGGTCTCCTGAGAAGAAAGACACTTGTGACTTCTATTGAGTTTTTTTTTTTTTCCACAAAAATATTCCCTGTAAATCTGAAATATATATATGTACATACATATATATTTTGGAAAATGGAGCTGTGGTGTAAAAGCAAAAGGTGGATCAACACAGTTCTCTTAGCATCTGCATTTGAGAGATGAGCTAATATTTCTCTCAAGAAAAGTGGAAGGACAGATGTTAGAATCCCCCTAACCAGAGGAACCAACTTGTATTCCGTGAATTGCACATTTATTGCTCCTACAGAAGCAACTTTGATGTCAGAGGACAAAATCCCATACCATTTTCACGTTGTGCTACAATGAGATCTCAAATATTTGTCTTTGTCCAGTCCCTTCCATAGTGCACCTTAGTGCTGAGACTGAGCCACTGGTGGGTCGGGTGGGTAGACCTCTTAGGGACAGAACCTAATGGTTAAATCCAAGAGAAATGATCCTATCCAAACTGATTCACAAATCCAAGCTCACCTGACAGCTGAGTGACATAAGCATCATTCTGCTGCATGGACCATTAGGGGCCTCGCCCAGATCTACTTTAGAACAAACCCAGTACCTCAGACAGGACAGTCGGGGCTTTCACCACTACCATGTCTGGGAGCCCGTTTTCTAGGCATTGTGAATAGGTTGGTAGCTAGTCATACTTTTCAGAACAATTTAAAACTCTCTATGCACAAAATTCCAGTTGGGCCTGGATGGAGTAGGTTGTTTTCTTCTTTTCAGCTTTATTTAAAGAAAGAGAAGAGAAACCATCTAGGATTCACCTTAGCTAGGAATCTGGCAGTATAATGATTTAAGCCAAGATTGGGAGGCTAAACAAGTCTACCTGCCTTTTATGAATCAAAGAATTGTTTAAAATGGGATTGTTAATCCTTTCATTAAAGATTAACTTGGTTTAAAGTCAAATGTGAATTGTCTGGGTTCATAGCAGAGTGACAGATCCTTCAAGTTCTCAGCCAAAGTAGATATTTTCCATTTATTTCATTGCATGGATCCAGTTTGTAAAAATGTAACAACAGGAAGAATTTTATAGGACACCACCTAGGCGGGGAACTATAGAAATATTAAGAAGGTTAAAAAAAATGCTGAGGAGAAACAGGAAACTTATTTCCTTGATGGCACATCTCCTCTTGGCATGTGATGAGGGTGGTATTTCTAAAATCTCTGCATACTTTTAAATGTACTAATAGAGTTGAGAGAGGCTTTAGGAAGCAAGGAAAACTCAGTAAAACAGTTTAGGAAGGTGAGAAGAAGGCTGTTGAATTTTGTTCAGTTGTGAGTAGAGTGGAAAGCCATAGCCAAGCTATTTTGAAAACTATCCCTGGCATGTTTTTAGTAAAACATATCAAGATGGAAAAAGACCAAGATGGTTTCTCAGTCCTTGACCTACAATCACTGTATGGAATCAATCCTGGCAGCTGAAAATAGAAGGTAATTAGAACAAGTACACAAGTGATAGTATGTATTTGCTTTTAAATTTCTTGGCTTATGTTTTATCAACTACGGTATGGTCCTCTTTTGAAGCCTTAATTCATGTCAGCAGCTTTTTTTTGGGGGGGTGGGAAGTGGGACAGGTGTTATTGTTCTTTCCTTTACTGTAAGTGTAGCTAGTTGCTGACTTATATCTCAGGTTTTTCTATGTTTGAGAAATGGATATTCCTTGGACTAGGCTGTGATTTGTTTCCTATGGTGACTGCTAAAACTAGCACAGAATAACGATTCAGAACTGACTGGCATGATCATGGGGTTTATGAGCTTCACAGACATACTGGTTATGTACAAATAATGTGCTATGATGTGGGTATAAAATGGACACAAAAGAGCATGAACTGCATAGGGAGCACATTATTACTGTACTGACAAATTTCTGTGAAATGATCTGAGTTTTTATATACGCATTTAAATCTTTTATGTAATCAGATATTCTCAAGGTTTCACAAAGTAATTTTTGGTGTGTTGTGTATACACACACCGAATGTTTAACAGTTCCCCGCTTCCAGAATCTGGTTACATCTGTCAAACATTTTTTAAGAAATGAAAGCTATAGCTCCATCGTTAAGGGTTTCAGGAGGCTTGGGGGACTCAGGTTCAATAGATCTTTGGGCAAAAATTTGCCTTGTGTCATTTAGGGTTTCTGTTGGCTATGGTCCCCCTTCCTTCCTGTAACTGTGATATAGTCATACACTACAACTGTCAGTCCTTGATCAGTTATGTCCAATAATCAGTTCTTGGAATCAAGATTACCATGCCGAAGGGGCAGCCTCCAAGGCAAGTCCTGGAGCTGCTCGGGTCTGTGGGTGATGTGGAGGCTGGTTCTCTTCAGCATGGAATCACAGGGGAACCCCTGGAGTCTACTAGGATGATACAGAATGGTGATTTTAAAGAGTTGAAATAGGCTTCTGTGTGAGAAATGCTGGAAATTGATTTAGGACATTTGTAAAGTTAGGTGGAAAGACTGTATAAATGTTTAACATGAATATAGTGTTCTTTTGGAGCAAGGCAAGCTGTTGAATGGTTAAATTGTGCATTTCTCATTTTGATGTGTCATGTATGTTAATATGATGAAATAAAATCAAAACTGGTACCTGTTTATACATAAATACGAGGAAGGACCTTTCTTTGCAGCTGTAAAATTGACAAATAGCATCATCCAAGTTGTCAAAGGAGGGTGTGGTGGAACCTGTTCTGCTATTCTCGAATAAGGTTTAGCTCAAAATAAAGTGGTGATAGTGTCAGATATATCTACTACCATTCACACGGAATACTGGATCGCTGGCTAACATATCATTGGCTGCCTTCTTTCTGTGTATACCTAAGGCACAGTACACTGTAGAAACCAAAGACTTGGTAAATATTTTGATTGATTTTGGAAGAAAAATAAAATTAATGCCTTTGTAATTATTTCAGGAAAAATGGAGGAATCAAACAGAGGATCTATTCTATCCTTGCCATGGGTACTCTAATGGCCTACCTCTCAGCCTGTGACACTGGATATGCTCATTAGTGCAGTAAAAATCATGCCTTACAGGAATGAACTATTTACCTTAATGCAGCAGATGGAATGACTAAAAAAGACTCACAAGGTAACCTCACTAAAGTGAACTGTAAAAGGTTCCTGAGTAAGTTGCAGTTGGACTTAAGAAAATTTGAAAGTAAGGAGGACTGGCCAGGGTAGGCCAATACCAGAGGTGCCTTGGTGAGGACATTGCAGGGAAAAAAATGGGTGGGATAGAAGAATAAAGGGAATGTGAAATAACTGTCTCCAGAGATGGAGGGTAGTAGAACAACAAGTGTTTGTATAAGAGGCTTCAGGTGAAAAGGCTTAGATCTTGAGAAGGCCTGAAGGTCAAGCGAACTGTTCACTCTAGGTAGAGCTAGAGGCATTTAGAGAACACACGAGCAGCTGGGAGAGGGCTGGTTTGGATCTGACACCTACAATTAGACAAAAACCAGGGGGAAATAGGGAAGGTTTCTGAGATGTGGAGACAAATATGGCCAAATTGGAGTCTTGTGTATCCATAAAGACAGTTTGTGAAGGGCAGAGTGTTCTGGGACAAGATGACAAAAAATTTTTTAGCTTCAAAATGTTCACTGGTATTTTAAATACTGTTGTCAGGTTTTGTTTTTCTGATATTAACCACTAATGTGTTAGGTCTTTTTCTTTGAATATTACTTTTCTGCTCCCAACTTTACAACTCACATATTATAAATTTATATGCACAAAGGGTGAAGGCCAGCTTCTACTGACCTAATTTACCTAATAAAACTTTGTAGTATAGTACCCTTTTTACAGTGGTCATAAATACAGATGAACAGATTGATAGACAAGCAAAATAGGCTTTTAAGAGAGAGTCAATACCTAATTTATAATTAAAAGGAAGGAAGCTTTCCTTTGGGAGCTCTGAATTTGGAGGACTAGTTTGACAACTAAAAATAAAAACCTATGTTCAATATGAACCAGTGTAACTCCACCTCATGTACAATCACAAAAATGGGAAGTTATTCTCCATGTATGTACATGTCAAAATACATTCTACTGTCATATATAACTAAGAACAAATAAAAGAAAAAAAAACTAAGGGGGAAATAGGGAAGGTCTAGATTTCTGATATGAAAAAAATGTGGCAGAATATTTAGAGTGATCCCTGAGTGTCCAAAGAGATTATTAAGACTCAGGACTATTGCTCAGACAAGAAAAATGTTCTTCATTGCTGCTAAATATTTAGTTTTTAGAACTGCAGACTTGCCAGAAGGAAAAGGTTGGTATGTCAGCTTTTCATCTCTCTAAAATAATTTAAAAATATTTTTTAGTTGTTGATAGACCTTTATTTTATCTATTTTATGTGGTGCTGAGGGTCAAACCCAGTGCCTCATACATGCTAGGAAAGCACTCTGCCACTGAGCCACAACCCCGGCTCCACCTGATGTAATTTATGAGGAGGAAAGATTTTCAGTCTGTAGTCGTTTGACCCTGTTGTTTTGGGTCTGTGGCAAGAGCATGTGGTGGAGGAGACCTGTTCACTTCATGGCATTCAGGAAGAAAAAGAGTGTGAGAAAGGCCAATGTCCCCAATAGCTCTTCAAGCACGCACCGCCAGTGATCTAATTTCCTTCTGTTAGGTTCCCACCTCCATAAAAACTCCCCCACCTCCCAATACTGCCATTTGTAGGCAAACAAGCCTTGAGCATGTGGACCTCTGGGGGACGTTTAAAATCCAAAGTATAATACAGGCTCAAGGAAACCAAATGGCTTACCAGTCGAGGCTAGAAACTTCCACCCAGATCTCTCTCACAACTCCAAGCTGACTTCCCAACCCTGGAGGATCCTGTAGTGGCCAGGTAGGTCACTGAGTGAGTACTAACCAAGAAAGACCCATCACAGTTTCTTGAAAAAAAAAAAAAAAATTCCCAGAATCTATTAGAAAAAAGTAAAATATTGAAGGGTAATATTATGGTCCCAGTCAGGGTTCAGTTACGAAAAAAACCACTAGGAATGATATAGAATATGAGGTTCAAAGGATTTGACCTGAAGCAGTTATAGAAGCTGAGAAGATAGTCTTTGTTGGCTGTTTCTGCTTCATCTGAGCACAGGAAGATTGTGAGTTGGGAAGGAATGTAAGTCCTAATGGGGGAAGAGTGTGGACAACTGAGGCCTCCAAACAATAAACTGAAGGCTCACACCTCTCACCAGAACCCAAGTTGGCAGTCTCCTTGTCTAAGCCTTCATCCTCACTGCTACAGGTGACCTGAAAGAAAAGCTAATACTTACACCTGATCTAAAATTTAGAAATACCAAAGGCGGAGTTCTACGGGAGCTGGAGGAGCTGGGGGCGAGGCTGCTGCCCACATCTAGGGGAAGGAGATGCCAGAAAACGTGCATGAGGCAGAGGCCTACATAAAGACCTGGACCAGGGACTTTCTTAACCCTGGCTCTTGGTCTCCACTTGCCTGCTTAGGGCTGTTTCTACTTCTTATTTCTTTGCTTCTTCAGTCCTTTCTTCCCCTAAGAATACCCATGACATGCAAAGTACTGCACTAAGCACTTTGCTTCATTTCCTACTCCCATAGAAATTCAACAGTACTTTGTGTTTTGTCTTTTTCTTTACAAACAAAAGGGCAGAGGCTGCATAGCCATGTCTGTATCCCTGGCACAATGTCTAGCACATGGGATAAGCTCAATTAACTGAATTGCTGAGTGAGTGATCTCCATAGACTGCTATCAAAGCCTTCATGTCCCACATGTTTACTAGGCTGATAAAAAACAGTCGGGGGGCTGGGTTGTGGCTCAGTGGTAGAGCTTTTGCCTAGCACCAGCACATGTGAGGCACTAAGTTCAATCCTCAGCACCACATAAATGTTATTTTTTTAAAAAAATTGTAAAGTGGACAGTATGCCTTTATTTCTTAAGGTGGTGCTGAGGATCAAACTCAGTGCCTCATGCATGCTAGGCAAGCGCTCTGCCACTGAGCTACAGCCTCAACCCAATAAAAGTTATTTTTTAAAAAATGATGGTTAGGGCTGAAGTTGTAGCTCAGTGGTAGAGCGCTCACCTGGCGTGGGAGGCACTGGGTTCAATCATCAGCACCACAAAAAAGCAAATAAAAATAAAGGTATTGTGTCCATGTACAACTAAAACAAATTTTTTTTAAATAATGGTTAAAACAAAAACGAGTCCTGCCTGTGATGATGTAACAGAAAGAAACCTAAACTATGCCTACATCAAGGAAACCAATAATCAATGAGACGAATCTCCAGAAGGTGGAGAAAGGGAGTCTTCATTTTCTGATGATGAAATGTAAGGGACACCACAACCTGGTAGACAACAAGAAAGGCGGTGTTTCATCAGGATAGGAAGAGGGAATTCTCAATTTAGATTTGATGTGATGGAAGTGGGATGGAAACAGTAAGAACACAAAGATCTGGATTAATTTTTTTTCATGTTTATAACCCATAACCCAGAGCCTGAGTAAAATTTCACAAGGGCATTGAAGACACATAGCTTCTTAAAAAATTTTTCTCCCTTTTCTATGTTTTCACTCCAGTAGCTACACTAGAATATATATACTGTCAATAAAAAAAACAAAAAAGAAAACAAAAAATAACTCTCCATGCAGCATTTAAAACAATTTCTAGTAATGTTCCAACTTCAGTTATCACCAAGAATCAGTTCTGTTCGTTTCACACAGGGCATTCGCATCAAGGGAAGGAGATGGGCAAAGACAGTCCATTCTGGCAGTGGCAGTCCATGCAGTGTCCACTGCAGTGAGGACCCAGACCTTGTACCAGCTTCAGGCCTTGGTCATACCACAGGACTTGGGCTCCAAATGTCCTCTGGGTTACTGGCATCTCTGCCTCCTAAAAGCAGCCTGGCAGGTGGGAACCAGCAGTGCTATAGCTTGAGCTCTCGCTCCGGCTTCATGCTGAAGGGCTCTAGCCGCTCGCTCTCAGGCAGCATGCTGTTGAGCCTTTCCATCAGCGGCACCGTCTGGTCGATGCCCATCTGTATGCGGCGGAGGATGGCAGACATTTCGTTGACTTTCTGGATCTGCTCAGCATATTTCGCATATCTTTTCTGGCGTTCCTGCATGAAGCTAAAGAGGGTTTCTACAGACAGATCCATCTATAAAAGGCAAAAAGAGGTAAAACACATTAAACTTTGTTTATCGAAGTCCACTCAGGAGGGTCAGGTGTCCAGCATGAGGCAGAGACCCACAGGTCAGTGGGAACCGATTAGCTTTATAGGAGGTGGCAGGGGATAAAAAGCCCTTCATGGACACAGGTTATCAACTGCTACACCAGAACCATCTTTCGGGGAGGGCTGTTTACACCCTGTTGAAATCCTGAGATTTCTATTGCTCTCTCTCTACAAAAAAAGAATTCTGGAAATCAGACAAGGATTTGAACCTGGCTCTACCACCTGAGTTCTATTTCACGGTCCTCATCTGCAAAAAACAGGAACTATATTCACAGGCCACACAACTACATTTCAGTCAACAAAGGGCCACATACACAACAGTGGCTCCATAAGACGACAACAGAGCTGAAAAATCCTGTTGCCCAGTGACATCAGAGTCTTGGTGAGACTGAAGAATCACACATTA